ATTGGTAGGTAGATGCTAGCTCCAGCAACTGCTACTTTTACATTGCACTAAAAAATTAATTACCTTTTTAAAAAATCATACATAATATATAAACCATTTCTTAAAAATAATTACACAGAAGAATAAATTTATTACAAATAAGTTCTTTAACTTGACCTTGTTGCTGATCTCAATCTCATTCTCTATTATATAACAAGCAAACCGGCCCGTTTCAGAAGGCAAATAAAAACATTAAATAATGAAATTATTTGTAACTATTATTCTTTACAATACTTATTAGATGAATAATGTATTTTTACCTGTTTAGTTGTACCGAAATTCCTCAAATTTCCTTGAAGAGAACTTGAAACTCTAAGACTACGAGAAAACATTTTGTGTAACGACAGGATAAAAACTGAATGACAAGAAAGTTTCTCCTCCTTTTACCTACTAAATTACTGTTCCTCGATATATACGAGGGGAGATCCATAAATAATTTGAAAATCAGAAATAATTTTTGAAAAAAGGTCCGAATCAACTTATGCTCTCCTAATACGAATGTTCAAAACTTTTAGTTTCTCGTTAATGTTTTTCGTTTATCAAGAAAATCAGACAGATACTGATACAATTATTTATTTTCATCGATGTATTTTACAGATATTTTTTACAATTTAGTTTCCGATACTGAACTAAACATTCAACAAGTATATTCGTATATTAAAACATAAAAAAAGATGTGTAAGTAAAATTTACATGTATACGATATATTTTTAAATACATTTTCGTTTTAATAAAGAGGATATATTTAACCCTTGACGAATTTTTCTCCTTTTTCTATGTTCTTCTTAAGTTCGGGAACTGCAGCTTTAACAAGTTCTTTTTCAAAATCGCTTAATGGGCCAAGTCCTAGGTTCTTTTCGACACCATTGGGGCCTAATAAGATGGGGGTGGAGAAGTATTTCGCTTCTGTTACATCCGACCTTACGTAAGCGCATTCAATTACGTTCGATTCGCCTCTTAGACCACGAATAAGGGAGATTGCAAACCTAGCGCCAGCGAAGGCCATTGAAAGGGTCGCAGACCCTGTTCCAGCTTTGGCTTTCACTACCTGTAAAATTTAATACAACGTTATAAAAATATTTGTTTGAAAACAATCATTAATACATTATTTTTTTCAAATTTAGACGAAACAGTTAAAATAAAGGTTTAATAATAAAGGATGACAGGGAAGGCTCAACCAATTCCACTTGTAGTCCCTCGATTTTGGACTACAAGTGGCATTGGCTGAGCTGTTCCTGTAATCCTGTCTGTAAGTTTAATTAATACATAAAGTACTCTATTTTAACTGTTTCTTCTAAATTTGAAGAAAACAAAGAGAATCTCTTACAATTGGCTGGATAGGTGGTAGATTAGAGAACTTATATTCGTTCTTGTAGGGATTTAGTACCACAATTATCAGGGATGCAAAATGATGAGATAAAAATGTTCATGAATGAGTGGAGGAGTGACAGAGTGGAGAATGGTAAAATAGATTTATTAATAGAAACTTTAAATGTGAAATTTGTGAGAAAACCTGGGAGTAGATTAAAACTATAATTACAATTAAATGCTATAAGAATCATTCGATAAAATTAAAGTCTAATAACTGTATTTTATATAAGTTAGTGCAGTCTCTAGGCTTGTAATATTGATTTAATTTTGCCATTGATAAATATGATTAACATACTTTTGAACAAAATATCGGTAAGAAGTTTTTCTGCTGTAAATCTAAATGCTAAATGAATTTTACATTTCAGAGCTTTGAAATTATCTATGGCCTTGAAACTTCAACGGGTCTCTAGATACTTTTGTGTGTGCTTAAAATGTGTTGTCGCAATTAATGTTTATATTGGCTGATGTGGACTTTTTCAACAATTTCTTAAGGAAGGCAGTTTTCCACAAAATAGGTATATAGGAAAAGCAGTTATGTTTTTAAATTATAATTTCGTAATATATGCTACCTCCTACTAGAGGCTGTGTCTCCTTTTGATCGATACGATACGATCATCGATCGATATTGGAATGGATAACTAATACATAATAGGTGTGCACAAACACTTGCAAAAAAAAATGTTTTAATTTCCGGTTAGTGTAGCCATCAGGTTTGGCTTCTATGTCTTCCTAATAGCGATCAGTTGTCATGGTAAATTATGCCGGTTTATCTGGGCCAATAAAACAAATTTCCGCCTTTTGCAATCAAACTTAACACCTGGTAACACAAGGTAGGTCTACCCAGTTAAGAATTAGGTGGTTATGTATCGAAATCAGAAAAACAGTTTTCATGTTATATAAATGTGTATGGCAGTTAATACGTACGGATTAATGATGTAAAAAATATAATGGAGCTTGTTCTAAAAATCTCTTATTTAAAAATATGTAGTACCTGGTGTTATATTAGAATCTATCTGATGCCAAATTTCTTGAATATTCATATACACGAGTGGCAAATTAAGAACCGAGCGTAAGGAGATATTTTATTTTAAGGGGTCGATCGAAGTCCAATAAATGCAATTTAAAGCGTAACACCCCCTATACTTTATTCAAAAGACTGTGAGAGTTCGGTTAGTTTGGAGAAATTTTAATTAAATATTAATTTTCAACAAAGGACAGGCCAGGTATTTAAATAAAAAAAAAAAAAAAAACGNTTATGCTCTCCTAATACAAAAGTTCGAAATTTTTAGTTTCTCGATATATACGAGGGGAGATCCATAAATAATTTGAAAATCAAAAATAATTTTTGAAAAAAAGACCCGAATCAACTTATGCTCTCCTAATACAAAAGATCGAAATTTTTGGTTTCTCGATCTATAATACGAGGGGAGATCCATAAATAATTTGAAAATCAAAAATAATTTTTGAAAAAAAGACCCGAATCAACTTATGCTCTCCTAATACAAAAGATCGAAATTTTTGGTTTCTCGATCTATAATACGAGGGGAGATCCATAAATAATTTGAAAATCAGAAATAATTTTTGAAAAAAGGTCCGAATCAACTTATGCTCTCCTAATACGAATGTTCAAAACTTTTAGTTTCTCGTTAATGTTTTTCGTTTATCAAGAAAATCAGACAGATACTGATACAATTATTTATTTTCATCGATGTATTTTACAGATATTTTTTACAATTTAGTTTCCGATACTGAACTAAACATTCAACAAGTATATTCGTACATTAAAACATAAAAAAAGATGTGTAAGTAAAATTTACATGTATACGATATATTTTTAAATACATTTTCGTTTTAATAAAGAGGATATATTTAACCCTTGACGAATTTTTCTCCTTTTTCTATGTTCTTCTTAAGTTCGGGAACTGCAGCTTTAACAAGTTCTTTTTCAAAATCGCTTAATGGGCCAAGTCCTAGGTTCTTTTCGACACCATTGGGGCCTAATAAGATGGGGGTGGAGAAGTATTTCGCTTCTGTTACATCCGACCTTACGTAAGCGCATTCAATTACGTTCGATTCGCCTCTTAGACCACGAATAAGGGAGATTGCAAACCTAGCGCCAGCGAAGGCCATTGAAAGGGTCGCAGACCCTGTTCCAGCTTTGGCTTTCACTACCTGTAAAATTTAATACAACGTTATAAAAATATTTGTTTGAAAACAATCATTAATACATTATTTTTTTCAAATTTAGACGAAACAGTTAAAATAAAGGTTTAATAATAAAGGATGACAGGGAAGGCTCAACCAATTCCACTTGTAGTCCCTCGATTTTGGACTACAAGTGGCATTGGCTGAGCTGTTCCTGTAATCCTGTCTGTAAGTTTAATTAATACATAAAGTACTCTATTTTAACTGTTTCTTCTAAATTTGAAGAAAACAAAGAGACTCTCTTACAATTGGCTGGATAGGTGGTAGATTAGAGAACTTATATTCGTTCTTGTAGGGATTTAGTACCACAATTATCAGGGATGCAAAATGATGAGATAAAAATGTTCATGAATGAGTGGAGGAGTGACAGAGTGGAGAATGGTAAAATAGATTTATTAATAGAAACTTTAAATGTGAAATTTGTGAGAAAACCTGGGAGTAGATTAAAAATATAAAAATGCCATAGACAAAGTTGTAAACTTACTTCTGTTCCAGCTTCCTGTATCCTTTCTGTGAGTGCCTTGAGCTGATCTGCAGGGAACGACACTTTCGGAGTTGCCTGCGAAATCAAGGGGATGATGGTGATTCCTGCGTGACCCCCAATAACGGGCACGTTCGTCTTAATTGGGTCAAGGTTTTTAGCTTCTGCAATGAACGTGTTTGCTCGTACAACATCCAATGTTGTCACTCCAAAAATTCTCTTTGGATCGTAATTTCCAGCCTGTAAAATTGCATAATTGTAGAAAAATTAAACGTTAAGAATTCACATATCCAACTTTCGTATGTTATATACGATTTTTTTTAAATCAAGTTTATTATCTATACAAGTAACTAAGTAAAATAAATTTATTCTGTTACAAATTAACACGAAGTGTTTGCACTGACTTTAATGAACACTTCAGATGCTATGGGCACTGTAGAATTAACTGGATTTGAAATAATACCAATTAAGGCTTTTGGGGCAACTTCAGCAGCAGCTACAGCTAAGTCCCTCACAATAGATGCATTCGTATTAAAGAGATCGTCACGTGTCATACCTAAACAAATTAATGTAAAATAAATTGTGAGTGCAAAAATTAAGGACAAGTCTCACCAGGTTTTCTTGGTACACCTGCGGGTATTATAATTACTTCAGCACAACTAAAAGCTTCTTTTAAAGCTTCTGCTCCATTATATCTACAAATAAAATAGTTTTGTTGTGTATGAAATACGAGATTGTCTGCGTGAAGACTTGCATTTTTTCTTCTTAGTACTTCAGTTAATGTGATGTAAATTGAGTAATTTTACGATAAGTAAAGTTTAGTCTTTATCATTTAATTGCAACCAATATTTGGTTAATTATTGTAAACTGACCTTAAGCACTTGTGTACAATATAAATAGGATTGGGATTCCTAATGTAAATAAACTAAAAGTCTTACTTTTTCATCCAGGTGTTTTATTTCTTACCACCTTAGAAAGAAAAGTACCTACTAAAGTAAAAAAGATAAAACTAACCGTTAATCTAATTATCACTGTTTAAAGTCGAAAATTAAGAAGTTTTTAAAAAAGACCTGAATCAACTTGTTCTCCTAATACAAAAGTTCGAAATTTTTGGTTTCTCGATCTATACGACGGGAGATCCAAATTTGAAAATCAAAAATAATTTTTCGAAAAAAAGACCCGAATCAACTTATGCTCTCCTAATACAAAAGTTCGAAATTTTTAGTTTCTCGATATATACGAGGGGAGATCCATAAATAATTTGAAAATCAAAAATAATTTTTGAAAAAAAGACCCGAATCAACTTATGCTCTCCTAATACAAAAGATCGAAATTTTTGGTTTCTCGATCTATAATACGAGGGGAGATCCATAAATAATTTGAAAATCAGAAATAATTTTTGAAAAAAGGTCCGAATTAACTTATGCTCTCCTAATACGAATGTTCAAAACTTTTAGTTTCTCGTTAATGTTTTTCGTTTATCAAGAAAATCAGACAGATACTGATACAATTATTTATTTTCATCGATGTATTTTACAGATATTTTTTACAATTTAGTTTCCGATACTGAACTAAACATTCAACAAGTATATTCGTATATTAAAACATAAAAAAAGATGTGTAAGTAAAATTTACATGTATACGATATATTTTTAAATACATTTTCGTTTTAATAAAGAGGATATATTTAACCCTTGACGAATTTTTCTCCTTTTTCTATGTTCTTCTTAAGTTCGGGAACTGCAGCTTTAACAAGTTCTTTTTCAAAATCGCTTAATGGGCCAAGTCCTAGGTTCTTTTCGACACCATTGGGGCCTAATAAGATGGGGGTGGAGAAGTATTTCGCTTCTGTTACATCCGACCTTACGTAAGCGCATTCAATTACGTTCGATTCGCCTCTTAGACCACGAATAAGGGAGATTGCAAACCTAGCGCCAGCGAAGGCCATTGAAAGGGTCGCAGACCCTGTTCCAGCTTTGGCTTTCACTACCTGTAAAATTTAATACAACGTTATAAAAATATTTGTTTGAAAACAATCATTAATACATTATTTTTTTCAAATTTAGACGAAACAGTTAAAATAAAGGTTTAATAATAAAGGATGACAGGGAAGGCTCAACCAATTCCACTTGTAGTCCCTCGATTTTGGACTACAAGTGGCATTGGCTGAGCTGTTCCTGTAATCCTGTCTGTAAGTTTAATTAATACATAAAGTACTCTATTTTAACTGTTTCTTCTAAATTTGAAGAAAACAAAGAGAATCTCTTACAATTGGCTGGATAGGTGGTAGATTAGAGAACTTATATTCGTTCTTGTAGGGATTTAGTACCACAATTATCAGGGATGCAAAATGATGAGATAAAAATGTTCATGAATGAGTGGAGGAGTGACAGAGTGGAGAATGGTAAAATAGATTTATTAATAGAAACTTTAAATGTGAAATTTGTGAGAAAACCTGGGAGTAGATTAAAAATATAAAAATGCCATAGACAAAGTTGTAAACTTACTTCTGTTCCAGCTTCCTGTATCCTTTCTGTGAGTGCCTTGAGCTGATCTGCAGGGAACGACACTTTCGGAGTTGCCTGCGAAATCAAGGGGATGATGGTGATTCCTGCGTGACCCCCAATAACGGGCACGTTCGTCTTAATTGGGTCAAGGTTTTTAGCTTCTGCAATGAACGTGTTTGCTCGTACAACATCCAATGTTGTCACTCCAAAAATTCTCTTTGGATCGTAATTTCCAGCCTGTAAAATTGCATAATTGTAGAAAAATTAAACGTTAAGAATTCACATATCCAACTTTCGTATGTTATATAGGATTTTTTTAAATCAAGTTTATTATCTATACAAGTAACTAAGTAAAATAAATTTATTCTGTTACAAATTAACACGAAGTGTTTGCACNTCTCTTACAATTGGCTGGATAGGTGGTAGATTAGAGAACTTATATTCGTTCTTGTAGGGATTTAGTACCACAATTATCAGGGATGCAAAATGATGAGATAAAAATGTTCATGAATGAGTGGAGGAGTGACAGAGTGGAGAATGGTAAAATAGATTTATTAATAGAAACTTTAAATGTGAAATTTGTGAGAAAACCTGGGAGTAGATTAAAAATATAAAAATGCCATAGACAAAGTTGTAAACTTACTTCTGTTCCAGCTTCCTGTATCCTTTCTGTGAGTGCCTTGAGCTGATCTGCAGGGAACGACACTTTCGGAGTTGCCTGCGAAATCAAGGGGATGATGGTGATTCCTGCGTGACCCCCAATAACGGGCACGTTCGTCTTAATTGGGTCAAGGTTTTTAGCTTCTGCAATGAACGTGTTTGCTCGTACAACATCCAATGTTGTCACTCCAAAAATTCTCTTTGGATCGTAATTTCCAGCCTGTAAAATTGCATAATTGTAGAAAAATTAAACGTTAAGAATTCACATATCCAACTTTCGTATGTTATATAGGATTTTTTTAAATCAAGTTTATTATCTATACAAGTAACTAAGTAAAATAAATTTATTCTGTTACAAATTAACACGAAGTGTTTGCACTGACTTTAATGAACACTTCAGATGCTATGGGCACTGTAGAATTAACTGGATTTGAAATAATACCAATTAAGGCTTTTGGGGCAACTTCAGCAGCAGCTACAGCTAAGTCCCTCACAATAGATGCATTCGTATTAAAGAGATCGTCACGTGTCATACCTAAACAAATTAATGTAAAATAAATTGTGAGTGCAAAAATTAAGGACAAGTCTCACCAGGTTTTCTTGGTACACCTGCGGGTATTATAATTACTTCAGCACAACTAAAAGCTTCTTTTAAAGCTTCTGCTCCATTATATCTACAAATAAAATATCATTTGTAGAGATTCAATCACTTTTATCTTAAATATGGGGATAGTAAGGAAATAAATTATAAATATGAGAACAAACTCTTATTAATTTTCAATCTTAATTACTAATGAATATTCTACAAATTTGCAGGAAAGTTTTAAAACAAAGTGATTTATTGGATAACTAAGAAAATAAATGAGAAAAAGGCTTGTGATATTCTGAATAAAGTAGAAGGTATGCTTTTAAATGTTATAGACATCTTACGCCTTCACTTTTGCTGGGCTGTTAATATGTGAGAGATCAGCAGCTACACCTGGAGTGTTCACAATATCATACAAAGACAGCTCTGTTACAAGAGGATTTTGTTTCAGTAGAAGGGACAGAGGTTGGCCAATACCACCACTAGCTCCAGCAACTGCTACTTTTACATTGCACTAAAAAATTAATTACCTTTTTAAAAAATCATACATAATATATAAACCATTTCTTAAACATAATTACACATAAGAATAAATTTATTACAAATAAGTTCTTTAACTTGACCTTGTTGCTGATCTCAATCTCATTCTCTATTATATAACAAGCAAACCGGCCCGTTTCAGAAGGCAAATAAAAACATTAAATAATGAAATTATTTGTAACTATTATTCTTTACAATACTTATTAGATGAATAATGTATTTTTACCTGTTTAGTTGTACCGAAATTCCTCAAATTTCCTTGAAGAGAACTTGAAACTCTAAGACTACGAGAAAACATTTTGTGTAACGACAGGATAAAAACTGAATGACAAGAAAGTTTCTCCTCCTTTTACCTACTAAATTACTGTTCAGTAGCCGAAAACCTGGATAAAATTAGTAAAAATTTTGACGTAATTTTGATAATGTGATTACATTACACAACGTCACAATATTTGACGTTTAAATTCAGCTGACGTTTGCAACAACTGCCATCTTTGATTTTTTTCGAATGTTATCAACTGACACAGGAACCTATTATCTATGCCAGGAACTTCATTTCCATTGATGTCTATTGTCTATGGTGTTCATTTAACCCTAAATAAAAATATAGGATTAATACTAATAAAAACTAAACATTTATAATATTGAAGTGGTTTGTGCTGTTAATTTACTTTTCAGAAAATTATAATGTGATTTTGCTTGTAGTTGAAGTATAAATATCTTTAGCTTTAAATTAAAAAATAAGAAAAAGTGTAATGCAGCCCCAAAACATTCTTGAATAATGTCTTCGTCTGATGATGAAGAAAATCTTGAATTATTTAAAGAAGCGACTGATGTTCAGTTTATCAACGATTCTATGTTTATAAATTTGGGCAAAAGTAAGGTATGTTAACAATGATAGAGTTAAACAGTTACTTCATTGAGTAAGCTTGTTCTAGCCCTCTAAAGAAGATATTAACAAAGTCGCAGAATGTCCAGAACGGTCCCTTAGAACAGCTAGAAATAATAGAGATGATGGCTCTGAAATGTTAAATGTAACTCCTCAATTTCAAAGTTATATAGCTAAAAAACTATCAAACATTTTAGAGAAACAGATTGAAGAAAGCTTAGGGGTGCAACAGAATGTTAAAGAGTGTAAAAAAAGTAAAGAAAAGGATGGTATAAAATTGCTAAGTAATTCTACAAAAACTGTTACGGTTGGAGACAAAGCCAAGGAGTTGGAACGTAAACAAACCAAAATTAAAATTTGCAAAAGACCAATGAAGGAAGAAAAGAGTGCAGTTATAGATTTCAGACAAGTTGCAGTAAATCCTGAAGATATTATTAATGGGACAGAAGTAAAACATTGGTCACAATGGAGTAGATCCAAGGTTTTCAAGTATAAAAAGCTAGAGAATGGAAAATTAGAGTATATCGAGCCAGAATTTGAAAAAAATGTTAACTAAAGGAGGAAGACATTCCCAAATCTTGTAAAATACAAAATAATATATGTATGTGATATTTTATAT